GTGGGTCACCTGCAACCACGCCTACCTACAGTTTGAGGGGGTAGACCTAGTAATTGCGGTTACACTCGCTGGCTTATAGGTGATTGAGGATACAGGCACGCTGGAAAACTAGACCTCGCCACCGCCCTGAGAGGCGGTGTGGTGCAATTGATTTTGAACGTATTCCTCTGCCATTCGCTCATAACCTTGAAGCTCTGGCAATCCGCTCCCGGGACCCGTTTTTTCAAAACATGCCCCTCTACAAATGTTTCAACCACAGAAAAGGAGAAGAAGATGTTGGATGGCAACTCAAACGACCATGCAGGAACGTTTGTCAATCCAAACCCCTAAACCCACGGGCCAGCCGTCAGCCCACACATGGAGCCGGGAAAGCACGGGGGCTCACCAAGCTGGGGTATGAGAATTCCGGCAGCCTTTAAAGGGATGATATAGGGTTATTATAGGGGTAATATTGGGTCTATATAGGGATAATGGAAAAGAAAATGGAAGCTCTTAGGATCCCCAAGGCCCTTTCCAGTGCAGAGCCGCCTGTGACAGGGCGCCTCAACAAAGCTGGAGCAAATTTTGGAAATTCCTCAAACATCCTGACTACGGAATCCCATGAAAGGAACATCAACTACTGTATGCCCAAAATGGCGCAAACATGTGACTGGTTTATTCAGATTCCTGATTCCTGCCTGCTTACACCACACTAACTTCCCCGAGACTTTGCGCCTTCCGGACACGGCTTCCCCACTCGTCAACTGCGAAGCGGCCCTCTGTGTCTTCGGACTGGCAAGGAATTTCAGAACAGGCTTCAATTTTTGTCTCCAATATTTGGGGGGGGGGGGGGTAATCGCACTAATTTTTGCGTACATGTATATATACATAGATGCATACCAAAATATATGCCCAGGTCTTGGATGCATAGTGGAAGCTCCTGTGAGCACAGCGCTGGTTACACGCCTTGAGCGTCTGCTTCAGGTCGTCTGTAGTCTCGATGCCGAACTCGGGTTTCCTGGGCGGCCAGGTGGTAATTACATTCTTCCAGCATGAAGGGTAAACTACCATAGGTTCGTCCTCTTAGGACCTCTCGCTCTTGGGAACCGCCCGATGTTAGCAAGTTGTGCCTTCTAGAAAGAACAGATGCGCGCTGCTGCATTGAGAGATTGGTGTGTTGCGCCCCCTCCGCGTCACGTTCGCACTTCAGGCTGACATTGTGCTATTCAGAACCCTCAGCAAATCCAAATGGGGCAGCCTCTTGGGCAAACGCGAAACATGACTTTAATGCCATACATATATATATATATACGCACATGCCTGCAAGGCTTCATTCACCAGAGATCTTGTGCAAAGTGGCTGCTTTCCTGCTGATCGCCGGCTCTCTCCAACAGTTGCACTTTGCTGTGTACCATTCTGGCTGGCAAAAAATTAGGGGCAAGTTACGACCCCATAAGATGTAAGGGTCATGAGCCATGACTGTTGGTAGAAACAAGGGGTAGCTACTCCATCCAAGACTTCGTGCACTAAGCGGTTTTTTCTTTGCAATATAAACGCGTGGACCATTGGAGCATGGCCGTGGGATAAAGCATCTTGTAGATTTGTCTATCAGAGAATGACATTGGAGTGGCCAAAGAATGCTCAAAGGAATGGCATCCAACTAGAACGATGTAACGAGGACTGGGAAACATTCTCAGTCATGCAGGAGCTGCTGCCGAGAGTCTTTATTTGCATCGCCGCCACGCAGTCTTCTAGCTGTGCCCATCCTTCATTATCGACCTGCACCAGGTCCTCCTGGATCCAAGAACTGGCCACAAACAAAACAACCTGGAAAGCCGATTCTCGCAGCAGCGTCAACCGAATTGCAGAAAGAGAGAGACGGAGAGAGACCCCAAGTGAAAGAGAGACAGCAAGTGAAAGAGATAGAGATGGAGATGGAAAGGGAGATATAGAGAGAAAGAAAGAAAAAGAGAGAGAGAGAGAGAGGAGAAAGAGAGAGACAGAGAGAGAGCGAGTGAGAGGCGATGCCTGCCCCCCTCGCTCGCACAAGTCAGGCTCCCTTTCAAAGCCAGCTAAGCTGCAGCCCAACATCTCACGATGGTCTTTTATGGCCAAACAGACACGAGGGTGGCTGCGAGAAGGTCGATAACGAGATGAAGGGGCATAACTTGGGTACTGCCCCCCCTCAGTCACAGTTGGATAATATTTATACTATGGGTATATTCAGCCCTTAATAGGACCCCTAATATAGGCTATTACTGGGAGGGGGCAGTACCCAAGGCATAACCATCAAAGCGTACAAATGTCAAAAAAGGTGGCGTCCTTCCAGGCGTTTTTCAGCATCCAACCCAGGAATCGGGTGATCTGCTCCCCCTTGCCTCGCCAGGACTCTGAGATTAAAGCACTGCTCGGCTTGGTTTAGGGATGATGATGTCAACATCAACTCCTACTAGGTAAGCTCATGCTCGAAACTTGAAGTCCTATAAAACATCCTCCTCTGGTGCATGCCCACCAATCATATGAGCTGTAATCTAAACTCCCTGTATCCCTCTGTACTCCCTATACAATCTCCTATATATTTTGCTTTGAGGAGTTCAGACTGTAGCTCATATGGTCAGTCTCCCTTGAATCACAGGCTGCCCAAAAAATTCACTGCCACGTTCATCCCTTCGCCCTCATAGTAAATCCCCCCGCCCCTCATATTGAATACTCCCAAAAAAAGGGGGATGGGTGGGTTTAACATCAGCCCTTTTTTTGAACCCAGACTCGTTAGTATCAGCCCTAAACCCCAAAGCCTATGGGGAGTATTTGGAGGGTATTAGGGGGAAGGGGCTGGTTGAGGCACTGCCAGGTTCATCCTCCTGTGGAATAAGCCCTAATCCTAAACCATAAACCATAAACCCTAAACCCTAAATCCTAAATCCTCAATCGAAAGAGTTGGTGAGGAGAATTCCGGAGCCAACTATGGGGCTGAGCGTTTCCGTTTCTGGTACACCAGCCGGTAATAGGGGTTATAAGTCCGCATTAAGTAGATAGAATATGGGGTATATGAGGATTATATCGGGGACTATTACAGGGCCATGAAGGGTTGTATTATAACTAGTATAGTGTAGTCTCATCGCTGGCACTTCAGGAGACAGCTCTGCAACAGGTTTTTTGGGGACGCCCTTCTGGGTTTGTTACTATTACTTGCGGTTTGGGGCGTCATTTAGAGCCGGAAAAGTTAAAATGTTGAAGTCAAGGAAATTTGAGAACCCTAAACCCTAAACCCTAAATCCTAAACCCTTAACCGCAAGAAAGGTAATAATTGGACTTGAGGTTTTAGAGTCTTTGGTCTTTCAAACCCAGGTATGCCTTTGTTGCTCTGAAGGCCTGGCTATGGTCCTCGTAGGATTCGTAGGATTGGCTTTGGGAAGATGTTCTTATAGTCCCCCTTAAGTAGATAGAACATGGAATTCTCCCAAACGATGATAAGATCCCCACATACCCGTATTCTGTCTACTTGAGGGGGGCTGGACAGTAAATCCATGGGCAGTTGCCCTGGCAACCTCAGGGACATTCTGGATTCCTCAGGGCTTTATGACAGTCTATATTAGGGGTCATATTAAGGGCTCTATATAACTATAATATAAATATTATCCAACTGTCACAGAGTGGGAGCAGTACCCAAGCTCTAGGGTTCAGGGTTAAGGGCAACCTGGAATTTACTGGTTCTCAATAAGTAGGGAGAAAGGGAATGTATGATATAGAAGTTAATCATATAGCGATTATATTCCCTCATTCCTTACTAAGAACCAGGCAGGTTATTTACGTCGGAGACTTCCGCATGGTTCCTCTGCAACTTGCGTTGTTCGGCTAGGACCCGGGTGGAGCTCACGCATACACGTGGTCAGCATGGAGTGAAGGAAGGGATCTAGCAGTAATAGTACTGGTAATAGTAATAGTTATTCATAATACTAGCAATACTGGCAATAATGAAAGCGGTTTTATGAATTTGTACGGGCTGCTAAAGGGATCCGTTCCTCCATGGCCCTACTCACCATCAGTAAGAGGATTCAATCAAAGCTTTCACCAGGGGTGAGACCTGATGCTCGATCCATAAAAATTCCCAGACCCCTGGGAGGATCTGAACATTAGATCCCTAGATACACCCATTATAACCCCCATATAATCCTTCTATAAATTCCCATATGGTTCAAGGGGTCTAATTCTCAGATCCCTTTGGGGGTCTAGGTTAGCTTGGGTCTGAAGTACAAGCCTGGATAATTGGATGGAAACTAACCGTCGGTCCCCGATTTAAGATAGAATACACCTGGGCCAATCCCTACATGTTCTAATCATTCTAGCCCCAAAATTTTCTGACCGCGGCAGCTGTGATTACCAAAGTTCCCCAGTAACCCTTTCATAATAGGGGTACCCTTGAATCAGAATGTTCACTTGCAATAAGGAGACCCCAAAAGAAATATGGAAAAAGTGTACTGCTGAGGTACCGAGATTACTAAAGCGTATAAGCCCCACTATATAACCCCAGTTTCCATTTCACTTTCATGTCCTTGTCCACGTGATTCTCCAGTACCCTGAACCCTAAACCCTTAAGCAAGCTATCTGGGGTACCTACGCCACACCCTGAACCCTAAACCGTGGCTTCAGGGTCACGGTTTTTCTCAAAATTGGGATTTCCCGAAAGCAGGGATACAATTAAAAGGGTTTATAGGGCATCATAGGGGTTATAAAGTGTTGTACAGGGTTTAGGGTTTATGGATTTAGGTCGGCGTTTCCCATAATTAGGCGTACCGTATTGGGGGTCCCAGTAATAAGGACTGCAGTATTTTGGCGTCTATACTGGGGTCACCTATTTTGGGAAACTACCAAATAAGGCCAACATAACGGATCCAAGGCATACACAGGGATCATACCGGGCAGAAGGGGTCCTTATAGGCGTTATTCTTCAAAGCCCCCAATGTTGCGCTAGAAAACCCGGAGAGCATCACTTTCTTATGTACATTGACACACGGCGACCTTCAAATCCTGGCCCGAGATCCGGCCACCAAATCGACAGCCAATACTCGGAAGCTGCTGGGTGAAAGGCAAGTTTGTCGGCAGTCAACATCGATGACATTGACAGCACAGTTTCTCTGGGGTATGTCGAGAAGCTTGTGCAATCCCAGCCCGGGCGTGGCCATGGCAATCAATGCTTTGTTCCTGAACTGCACAAACTCACGTTTTTCAGTAACCTGCTTCTTGCAACTAATGCCACTGCCCCACTATTAGCACAGTGCCATCACTGCTAACTACAACGAATGTAAACTGTAGCGACAGCCTTTACTACCAAGCATGAGACAGACTGCTTCGACGCTTTGCCCAGGTTCACCCACGAATGGCATACCAGCAACACCGCCTGGCAGGGGCACGAGACTAACTAGGTCGACACATGCAGGACAGCAGCAGAATGATGCACCTACAGCTATAGCTGTGAGACACTAGAGAAATCCTTACAATGACGAATGAAGGGGCTATGAGAGATCACGTTGTTGGAGCTGGGACATTTTGCTCTCTGGCAGAAAGTCAACTAGCGTCACAAGCCGCGGCTGTTTCTTTAAAAACGGGCTCTTCCCAAAATGAGGAGCCCATTCTTTGGTACCCTGCATAATCTAGCCCTAACATGTTGCATTCCAGATGGGGCACTGCTTTGCAGACTAGCCACACTACAGACCTGCATGTCATCTTTGAGTTTAGCTAAAACACCTGAATTGGCCCCCCACCTTCCCCTCCTGATGCTGTAGGCTGGTGCTCAAAGCCCGCATCACGCGGTCAACCAGGTCCTTGCTCAAGTGCTGACCCTAGCAGTATGACTGCTGCTTGCCTTAGTGTTGCCACGAGTCTGAATTACATACGTGTTCGCCGGATAAGCAGCATCCTGAGGTCATATGACTGGAGGTGGGAGGTTAAATTTAGCAGAGCCAGAATCCGAGATCGGGCCAATGCACCACCATCAGACCTGCAAAGACAAACTATCGTTTCTCAAACTCACTGTTCCACCACATACCAAGATCACTAGAACGACCTCGCAAAGGGACAAACTTTTTGGGGGCATTCCCTATCATGCAACCAACGTGCAGCTGGCATCCAGTACAATGGCTTGACGCCGCTGAACTCTGAGTTTTCCCCAACGCGAATCGTTCCAAAATTTGACTTCCTGGTCAAAAGGAGCCCTCATAGAGAAAGAAAGAGAAAGAGAAAGAGAGAGAGAGAGAGAGAGAGAGAGGGGACAGAGAGAGAGAGAGAGAGAGCGAGAAAGAGCGAGAGAGAGAGAGGCCCCATCTTACCTCGGGCGACTCGGAAATGAACGCCCATTTTCCTCCCCTGCCCTGACTCCCCACAAGTCTCAACACAGCCTGACAAGATATTACCTTCATGCTTACCTTTTGTTAGCTGGGAATGAAGGAATGGAAAAGAAAATGGAAACTACCATGGGCTATAGGGACTACCAGAAGCATCCATTCCTTCATTCCTAGTGCTAACCAAAGGTAAGCATGGCGGCCGTGAGCATGTCTGTGATGCCAGCAAATATATGAGCCCTCATCTAAGCTCCTAGTATCCCCCCTAATAACCTCTACAGCAGTCCCCCATATGATTCCTTCTATTTGCCCCTTCAATGAGTCTAGACTACGGTTCATATGCAAAAAAACAGCCCGAGGCCTTGTATACGGAAATCGCTTTGGTCGCAAGAGATGTTGCAAGGACATCATGTGTGGCACTGTGGCGCCAGCCAAACATTGCAGTAGCCAAGCATTGTCGTAGTCACGATACTGATGAGGATCGCAACATGAAAGTTTTCACGAATGGTACCCAAGCGCATCAGATGCAACGGGAACAGCAGCAGTTACAATGTAGATCCGATAAACTCATAAAGCAGCATATCGAAACATGTTACATAAGGAGTATAGGGGATACTTTGCCTACTGATCTTGGCTTATACATGAGCCCGCCCACCGCGCCCCCAATACCAGAATAACCGTGCTGCCAGCCTTCACCCCCAAATAAACCTGTAACAGCTAGGACTATGAAACTGCCCGGAAATCGGAAGCATGCCCCTAAACTCTAAACCCCAAACCCTTAGCCTCTAAACCCTAAACCCTAAGTCCCTAAACCCGAAACCACGGTCCTTTGGGCTCTCACCCTGCTCCCCGCCCACACGCTCCTGACGCGCCAACGATATGGGGGGTATACAGGGGTATTATAGCGTTTATATAGGGGTTGTATACGAATTATAGAGTATATATGGGTTATATAGGGTTATATAGGGATTATATAAGGATTGTATAGGGTTGTATAGGGTCAGCCCTTAAAACGCGCATGAATGGTTCAGGCTTCAGGGCGGCGCTTATCGAAGCGGTCTATTTCCACAAAACCAGGGGTACTCGCTTTTCTTCTAGCAGCAAGTTGCAAGGTAAGACGGGTTTCTATCTTCGGAGGTGGCAGTCCGAGACAGTCCGTCCCCAAAGAGGCCCTTACTAAGGGTCCTGAGTACCTTGGGCCCGAAAGCCTTTTGTGGGCAGCAAGCCACTGACGTCCCTTTCTATATAAATACACACACATATATAAATACATATAGTTATGCTGCGTTGGGTTTCATCGCCTCGGAATGGAAGAGGGAACTGTTCAAGAGACTTCCAAGTCCTCTACGTTGCCATCTCGCCATGCTTGTGCAATTGTCTTCATCTCAGCCCCAACATTGGCAATGACAGCACCTTCCTGGGAACGGTCTCGGGCTGAGGGAAATTTATCCGCTTCTAGGTCCTTGGGCTTGGGGTTTAGAGCTTACGGCTTTAGAGTCCTTGGGCTTAGCTCTTGCTTGCTTCATTTCTCACTTTTCCGGCAATCCTCTCCCCCTAATTCTGAACCCCCCGCACTTACCCTAATATTAAACATTCCCAATATACCCTATTAAATGCCCCCAATATATACTATAATATACGACAATGCAGGAGAATTTCATAGCAGGGGAGGCGTGGAGGGGTTTAATATTAGAGGAGAGGAATATTTGCCCTAAATCTCACACCCGAAGCCCCTGGCCTGGTAGGCCTGCGTGACATGGCACACCAACATTTGGGGGTTTCCCGAAATTAGGGGTCGCTTTAAAAGCGGGATATAGGGGCTTATATCGGGGTGTATAGGGATATTGGAGGTTTAGGGGTTTCCCGAAATACGGGTTACCTTATTAGGGTCCACCAAAGCAAAGATTATAGTATTCTGGAGTCTATATTGAGCTCCCCTTATTCTGGGGAACTGCCATTTGCTCTAAGTCTACCAGGGTGCAAGTAGGCCATAGCGCATCTCACAGAGATCTTCGACCTCAGGGCAGAAGAAAAACAACAGCATCAGCTTTCAGGGCGGTATTAACCAAGAGTGTAGGGTTTAGGGGTTTAGGGTTCAAAGCTTAAGGTTTGGGGCTTAAGCGTTTAGGGCTTGGCGTTTAGGGGTTTAGGGTTCAAAGTTTATGGCTAAGGGAGCCATGCATCGCGTTGTTGCTACTTACTCCTGGCAAACTCCCTTAGCATCATGGCACAGCCATAGTTAATAGTTACCCCCAAAAGTCTGGCTTGATCACGGAATCACGAAGGAGCAAAATGCGTTAAATCGCGCACCTCAAGCCCCTACGTAGACACCCCATGATTACTTTAAACTTTACAATTCTTGATCTTGCAAATTCATATCCCTCAGGCGGGTTGGGCCCCCGATCCACCACGAGCCGGCGTGTTGAAGATGGAAAGCCTTGCTGCTGCTTCAGGAACTGAAGCAGTAAGTTGGGAGCTTCAAAAAAGGTAGTTTCAAAAAAGGATCTTTGTGCGGTCCTGATGAAGAACCCATGCAACCTCGCTGAAAAAAGTAGTAGCCATCGCGAAAACTTTGTGTACTTAGGCGCAGGAGCATATGCCCCATATACATCAAACAACCCAAGCCCTTAGCCCCAATAGCCCAAAACACCGCGCATGCTAACCCCAAACACATCTATCCTGAACTCCGATGGCCCCTAAGCCGTGACCCCGCCCGGAAGCCCAAATTCCATGCTTATTAATCCCTGACCCTACAGCGTGTTGAGTTTGGGCTTTTAGGGTTTCGGCGGTTTAGGGTGCCTTGAGGCAGCCAGCATAGAAAAGTTGGGACCCCCGGTGGGATGCCGTGAATAGTAGTGGCCTGACCATACTGGGGAGACAGCAAAAGTAAAAACAACTTTTGTCAAACGCCCACAAAAAAAAAGGTGTACTGCCGATTGGTAGCCGTGATATATATATATATGTATATGTATTATAATTGCAGTTGCCGTTTTATGTTCTTCGATTTTCCACTGTTGGGCTAATAATATCATAGTTCGCATCCCATCACTGGCTCGCCACAAAGTAGCACATGATCAAACGTTCGACCTAAAAAATGCTGGTTCTTGCTGTAGCAGTGAATAAGGGAACCTAATCCCCATCTAGACCCCCTATCGAATACTCTCTGAGTCCCTACAAAGAACCAGGAAGTAAACCTATTACGCCATTACGCCCATTAACCAGGAGCCAGGAGCAGCGAGCAACGAGGTCCGCTGACTTCACAGCTCGCCGTTGCGACGATGAGCCAATGATCTCTGGAGCCTGGGTCTGTTTTTTTGTTTTCTTGCGGGACCTTTTCTCCGCAGCTCGTACGGTCGTGCAGAAATGCCTTACAGCACGGCCCGTGACAGCAGATCCATCCCTCAGCTTACGGAAGGCAGACCCACTTGCAGGAAGACAACCCAAAAACAGCTCTCCCTCAATTTGAAGGCTGCATTCTTCTGAGGGTCTACATGCGACCAATATTTTGGGAAACGCTCTACTCTAATTTTTCTTGGCGACGTTCAGGACTCGTTGATGGGTTACAGGCCCAGCTTTTTTCAGAGACTCCCAGTCTGGTGAGTTTCCACAAAATCGGTCTTTCTGTTTTGGGGTCCCAATGACCAGGACTATAGCATTTGGGGGTCTACATGCATTGCAGCCCTCTGTTTATGGAAACCCCACTTAGCGACAATCCTTGCTTCATGTGAAGATTCCGCTGAATTCTGGCCGAGTAGCCACAAGTAAACTTATTTCCCGCGCCAACTCTTCTGCCTGCTGCTCTCCATTGGCATTCAATTCTGACTCATGATCACCGCCGCAGAGCAAGCCTTTTTCCTTGCAGCTGGTTCGCATGGAGTGGAGAAGCTAGCAACAGCAGTCATAAAGCAACTGAAACAAGCTCCTGGCCTACACCTCATTCCTTGACAAAAGGCCCTAAACGTTAAACCCCTACCCCAACGGTCCGAAGTCCCACGTAAAAGTACAAAGGAGACTAAGGCAGCAAAGCACAGGGGAATCCATTTGGTTCTAAAGTATGCGTTCTATAGATGCTTGGACCCCTAGGGTGGCTAAGTCCCCCTTCAGTAGATATCATATGGCCTCGGGTATATTATGATAAGATCCCCGCATACCCCATATTCTATCTACTTAAGGGGGGACTATAACCCTAAGTCCTACACCCTAAATAGTAGTTTCCATTTTATTTTCCATTATCCCATATTATCCCTATATAACCCCTATATAACCCTATATAATCCCTACTTAAGGGGGACTGTAATCCTAAACCCTAAACCCTAAACCCTAATCCGTAGCCGGCTTCGTTGGCAAGTGTTTCGCCATGCCGGGCCAGCAGCAAACGCACACAGCCGGACTGCAGAGGCGGGAGCTCCTCCATTTCACACAACAAAGTCCACTTCTGGGGATCTTGAATTACAGTAGTTGTAGCAATATAGTAACAATTATAGTAATTTCAGTAATATAGTGAGAATTATAGTAATTATAGTAATATAGTAACAGTTATAGTATTTGTAGTAATTATAGTAACAATTATACTGATTATTGTAATATAGTAACAAGTATAGTAATTGTAGTAATATAATAAGAAATATAGTAGTTATAGTAATATAGTAACAAGCATAGTAATTGTAGTAATATAGTAACAATTATAGTAATTGTAGTAATATAATAACAATTATAGTATTTGTAGTAATATAGTAACAGTTATAGTAATTATAGCAATATAGTAACACATTATTGTATGTAGTATTATAGTAAAAGAATCATGAATTTTCGCTACAAGGGACATGCAAGTACATAACCATTTAATAGTTGTTTACCTCTGTATTGGTCATGCGCGCGCGTGCGCAAATGCTGCGGTATATGTCGAGATGTTAAGACGCACCAGCGCAAGAGCTCTGAGATATCGACCAAAAAGGAGCCCAACTAGCTTCAAAATGCCAATGAATTATCAATCATAGATCATGAAAGTTTAGTCCTGGAAGGCTTTCTTCAGAGATGTGCTGACGATGATCCCTTCAGGGAGGGCAGCAGAGACCTTGACCGGATTTGGCTTCGCAACTGGCCATGCACCTGTCATGGGGGATGTGAATTTAGGGCGTGGCGGCGGGGGGGAGCCATGACATGCTTTTGTAGTGCGTATCAGTTCTATACTGGTACTGCCGTCATCACAATGTACAATGGCTGTCGGGACCGCAATGAGACCCTCCGTTGTGAAAGCGCCTGTTCCACTGATGCCGAAAGAAGTTCGCTCACAGAAGAGGGAAAGGCAGAGCTAATTTCCAAGAATGGGCTCCAAGTGATCTTAATCACGCCTTGCATTGCACATGTACCCTATACGATAAGCATACAAGAGCATGGCACCATAGTAATGATAGCTTTTAGTTCATCTTGTGAGCTCCCTGGCCATATATCCTAAACCCTAAACCCCAAACCCTAAACCGAAACCCCCAACCCTAATCCCTAACCCCTAGTCCCTCTTTGCTAAACCCTAATCCCCAACCCCCTAAACCCTTATCCCTAAATCCTCAACCGTATATAGGAACCTGGGAATTTCTCAAGGGTCCCTTCAGGGACTCCCAGAGACCAAGGCAGCCCCCCAATGGCAACAAAAGCTTAGGCCCCTGCCCTGACTTCTGTATAGTAAAAGAATTTTGGTAACCCCAACCCCCAAAATTAAGACCTATGACTATCATATGATGGTTATAGGGTCCTTACTTTGAGGGTTGGGGTTACTAAAATCCCCTTATTACTGTAGGGCCCTGGGCGTCTAAATTGTTACTGAATCTAACTCTGCATTAGGATTTAGGGTTTTGGGATCGGATTGTGGGAGGCCTTTCCAACATTACGTAAGAACCCTATTATCAAAAACTCCCCCGCTTTTGTTCATCCCACCTAGATCAATCCTACCTTTCCGGCTCTCCGACCCCTAAACTCTAAACCCTGAGCCCCACACCCTGAGCACCAAACCCTAACCCTCCAAGTCCTAAACCCTACATCTTCAATTCACTGAACCCTAAACCCTGAGACCTGAAACCAACATTGTAATTTCCCTAAATACGGGGACCCCAGTAAGGACCCAAAAATACTATAGTCCTCATTAGACGGATCTCACAAAGGTACCACTAATTTTCAGAAACCCTTAACCCTATGTACCCCTACATAACCCCTATAAACGCTCTTATAGGTTCCCCCCGAACCTAGCAAAAATGGATCGGCCCGAAAGGACTGTAACTCGGAGCCCAAAGCAGCCGAGCAGAACTCGCCGTCCGCCGCGATCTCCCGCTTCAGCTGCTCGGTGGTGTCAAATTTCCTAGGGTTCGTAGACCCCTTGAGGGTTTAGGATTTAGGGTTCCCAGGCCCCTTTAGGGCTTAGGATTAAGGTTTCCCAGACCCCCCCACTTTAGGGTCTAGGATTTAGGGTTCGCAGACCCGTTTAGGGTTTAGGCCCTTTAGGGTTTGGTTCCCAGACCCCTTTTAGGGCTTAGGGTTACAGCTTAAGGGTTAACAGACCACTTTACGGTTTAGGATTTTGGGTTCCCAGGCCCCTTTAAGGCTTTTTTGGGGTTTAGGATTTAGGGTTCTCGAATCCCTTTAAAGGTTTAGACTGTAGGGTTGAGGATTTGAGGTTCCCAGACACCCCTTTTGGGCAGAGGGTTGTAGGGTTTAGGATTCATGCGTTCCACCCCTGGAAGAATCCAACAACATGGAGCCTCACAATGATCCCCTATAGCTTTCCTTTCCCCATTCTCACAAAAAGTGTCATTTTTTGGAAGTGTATATGATTTTCGGATCCTTTAAAGGGTCTGGGTTGTGGAGTTTTGCGGTTTGGGGTTTAGTGTTTTCGAGTTTCAGGGTTCGCTCCGACTCGACTAGTGGGGCAGAGGACACTACGCTTTGGCGCTGCGGGTTCCAGGCTGCAGTGTGAGACTTCCTACCGTCCAAGCTAATAAGGTTTAGGGTTTGAGGTTTAAGGTCGACCCTTCCCCCTAAACGTTAAACCTTAAACCCTAAACTGGCCCTAAACCTGCAACCCTAAGTCCTTAATAAACTCATGGCATAGGCCGCCCACCTTCGATGGTGAGCGGCGCTTAAGCCCCTCGACATCGATGGCGCAGGTCGATCCAATACGCTTGCCTGCCTTCCCACAGCCAGGGGTACCGTGGCACCCACCGTACTGGTCCCTTTTAAAGTCAATACCCTAAACTCTATGACCCAAACCTTGGCTGGCTGCTTTGTGGATTAGGGGGGTCTGGGGGGTCCAGGCCCTCCTCTGCGAGCGAATTTCGGGACCAGGGGGCCTGAGCCTGGAAGGGGGCAGCGGCTAAAATTTTTAGCCCGCCAAAGCAGCCCAAATCATTCATACGCTCTCCAAGGCTTTTCCAGGGCCTCCCAAATCCTCCCTGACCCTGCCAAAACCTTTCTCAGAGCCTGAACCTGCCAGGGCCTCAGCACCTCCCTCCGCCATTTCACAGTCTCTCAGGCGCGCCTTTGCAAAGGCCTCCCAGGTTTCGGAGCCTTTTAAGGGACCTTCCAGAACCTCCGAGGTGCCCTTGATACTATATAGAATTTTCGTCTCGACAGACAGCAAGTTAGCTGTTGGAGCTGGATGGACAAGTCTCGAAGGCTGTTCCAGTCCAGTCAGGCACCAGATTTTCGAGTGGGTGATCTCTTGCATGTTCAGAGCTGGCCCCCAAAGTTCTGACAACTCCATTCAATCCCTGAAGCACTAGAACCTAGTCACGAGAACCTGCCTCTTCGTTGTGACAATAATATTTGCAGCATTTGCAGAAATGGTAGTTGTATTATACTTTCTCATTCAAGAGCCGTAATAAAGCCAAACTACCCTCCCAAAACCTCCAAGCTCCAGGGAGTATCCAGTCATTCGATAGATTTCATGGTGGGTCATTACCACCCCAGGAAAGATTTTTCAAATTACCCCAAGACGGCTTTACGTCCTAAACTTCGCGCTAAAGCAGGCCTAAAACGCTAGTAATTTGACTTTGGTTTGTTGGCCGTCTTAAGGGCAGAGCAATAGCAACAGAAACTGTAAGAACAGTTGTAGTTCTACAAAAAAATTGGAAGCAATAATACTATGAAGCACTGATAGCAGTAATGATCATGATAATTAGGGGCGCTATAGTAATAGTAGTTTCCATTTCATTGTCCGTTTGATTTCCATTTGATTCTCCATTATCCCTATATAAAAAACCCTTTGTATACCCTATAATTCCCATATAACCCCTATATAACCCCTATATAAACCCCATGAATACCCTATAATTCCTATATAACCCTTCTATACAACCCCTATATAAACCCCATGTATACCCTATAATTCCTATATAACCCTTATATAAAACCCTATATATGCCTTATAATTCCTATATAACCCTTCTATACAACCCCTATATAAACCCTATATATACCTTATAATTCCTATATAATCCAAACCCTAAACCCTGAACCCTAAACCCTACCCTATTAATCTGATTGAGACATCCCAGCTTCAGCTCAGGCCGGATGTATGCCAAGACCAGCAGGCGCAGGTGGCAACCGTAGAAGTCCTCATGGGTTATGCTAAGGGCCTAGGGGTTTAGGGTTTAGGGCCTAATTTGTTACCAATAATGTAGACCATAAAATGGAAACTACTATAGTATATTGGTGTTATATTGGGATAAATGAAAAGAAAATGGAAACTACTATTTAGGGTTTAGGGCTTTGGGTAATGTAGACCCCTGATTAATAAACCCCCTTTTAAGGGCCTTAATATTAGGATCCCTATTATAATCCCTGTTAAGGGGAGGGGGTTTATTAATCATGGGTCTGGGTTATCATGTTCGGAGGTCTATTAGAAATACCCGAATTTCTTGGCATACCCTCTACACTCAAGCTAGCGTTAAACCCTAAACCCTAGAGTTTAGGGGTCCTTTAAGGGCTCCTGATGCTACCGTACATCGTTGCACACAGCTTTCAGAAACACCCTCCTCATCGAACGTGTGTAAGATCCACGGCTCCACGGTCTTTGCTTTGACATCTGTAAAGGTTGGATTCCAGCCCATGCTCATTGCCACTTTATGGACCACGTGGCCTCCGACACCCTCCTCTATCGCGCCCCAGGCGCAGTAAATGCCCGCACGGTGCATCTCGGCAAATTCGCGGACAGCACGCTCCTGGGTTGCTGTTCAGGAACTTAACTTATTGGGGAAACCATACTACTTACTATGAATATATATATATATGCCCATTATGGTAACTGGATTTAATTCCTTAACAGCAACGCAGGCTCTTCCTCATTCAGATCCCCCACGCCTGCGTCCCAGTGAACTTGCAGGTTTGCTGTGGGGAAGCCCAGCTGCTTAGATCCGCGACCGAAGCCGTGCACCACTTTTGCACGCAGACGCACGGGCTCAATACATGCAAGGGTTCTTGCTTGCATCATGGCTTGTTCACTACACTTCGGTTCTGTGAAGCTATGCCAGGCATGGGATATCACGCTGTCAACGACTGGGAGTGCATGAGTGAGTGCTGAAACACTGTATTCCTCAGGAGATGCGCCTCCTTGAGGCTGCGTTGGTTTAGCTGGTCGCTAACACTGATAGATATGGCAGTTTCCCGAAATAGGGGGACCCCAACATAGACCCCTATATGCTACAATCATTATTATAAGGACCCCCCAAAAAGGTACCCCGAATTATGGGAAACCCCCGGATATTTTTTTAATCAAAGTCACTGAAGCTCCCGTTCAAGGACCTGAGCCGACGTCTGCTGCGCTTGCCCTTGATGCAAAGAACCCTCTAATAGTATATTGGGGTTATATTGCGGCAATGGAAAAGAAAATGGAAACTACTATAGTATATTCGTATATTGCGGTTCGATTGGGATAATGGAAAAGAAA